TGTATATATTTAAGAAAATAATGCAATTGGTATTTAAAAGTAAAAATAATATTCTTACTTACATTTTTTCGTATTCAAAAGAAAAATAAAAAAAATATAGATTTTAAAAAAATTACCTTTCTAATAAGAAAGAATGTTCTTTCTCATGTATATATTTAAGAAAATAATGCACTTATTATTTTAAAATATAAAACGTTTAAATTTGTTATACATATTTTTAAGTAATATTTTTTAATAATATATTAATGATAATTGAATTTTTTACAAATAAGACTACTTAATACAAATTATTAAAAAAAATTAAATTATCATTTATATATTATAAAAAATATTATTTAAAATTACATTAAAAAATATTTTAAAAATTCATATTTTGAAACAATAGAGTATGTCATACGGTGGTTTTCGAAAAACCATTCTTCACGAATTAAAAAGATTGCGTCAGGCATATTGTGTAACTCACCCTTTTGATTTTTATTTTAATGAAAAGATTTTTTCGATGGCCAAAAAAATTAAGGTTGCTCCAAGATTTGACAGTTATTTCCCAAGATGCCCATCTCCAGTCTCCACGTTGCATGATAGCAGCACAAGACCTTTAAAACTTGTATTTTGGGGCAAAGATGTGATTTTCTAGTCTTCACGTTGCACAACACTAGCACAAGAACCGTAAAAGCTGCAGTATCATGGTGAAGAAATAAAATTAACCAATCCTGCGGCGTGCGTGATTCACAATCCAGAATGCTTGGCACTAATTAATTAAGTTGACTTAAGACCAAAAAGACTTCCAAGTCTTTAAAAACTAATTCGAGTCATCAAGATTTTAAAAAGCAAAAAGAGGATAGTCATTTACTCAGGATTTTTTTCTTTAGAGTAACTTAGGGGATAATCATTTTACTTATTTAAGACTCATCCGTGGTTCTATATCTGAAAGTTTGGAAATTAAGTAATAAAAATAGATTATATTCCATCCTCATTTTTTGATTTAGTGATCATAACTCTTAATTAAATGAGTATTACCTCATATAGATTGTATCTTCAAACCTTACGGATCTTATTCTTCCTTCCTCCAATTTATCCTGTTCACAAATATATAGATTATATTTGATCTATATATAAAAATACTCACGCTGAATAGAAATAGGTAATATTATTTTACCACTACTCGTGATTTCTTTTTATTTTAATTGAAATTTTTATAATTCAACTAACATAAATGCCCAGAAACAAAAAGAATAAATATATTTATATTATATAAAAAAAAGAAATTATAGAAAATTAAGATATTTTAACAATTTAAATATATAGATTATATTTGATCTATATATAAAAATACTCACGCTGAATAGAAATAGGTAATATTATTTTACCACTACTCGTGATTTCTTTTTAT